AATTCCGTCTGTCTTCAGAGTTGGCCACGCCCACTACAGCCAAAACCTCTGCATGCGTGGCTACAGAGGGAAGGCCTGGAGAGCGACCCCCCCCATGACTCCAAGGCCAGGGGGCCCCTGGAAGGATCGGGGAGGCATTTAAATGCCTCCCCGTGCCTTCCCCGGCCTGTCCAAGGGCCAGCTTGCCCGGGCTCCCCGCAGCCGCAGCACACCCAGGCAAGCCAAGGGAAGGCATGGTGTGTGGCCTAATATGCTAATGAGCCACACTGTCGAGTGTGTGGCCTAATATGCTAATGAGTTTCTGCTGTTGGGTGTGGCCTATTATTCTAATGAGTTCGTGCTGGGCTTTTTCTACAAAAAAAGCCCTGGACGGTACTGATCTTAATGAACCAGGGCTCATATCCAGTATAAGAGAGCTTCATGTGTAGTTTGGTCCTAATCCACATAGTGGTTAGCGAGTTGGACTGAGGCTCAGGAGGTCAGCATTCAGATCCCCTCTTGTCATGTAGCATGCTGGCAGTATTCCCTCTAAGCTGAGTTAGTGTGAGCCAGCTCACAGTTTTTTAGCCTCCGGCTCACACATTTTTGTCTGAACTCAGGAAGGATGGCTCCAGAACAAACTAATTTATGCAATAGCCTATTGGTCCGCTCACAATTTGAATGCCAGTAGCTCACACAGTAGAATTTTTGCTGAGAAGACTCCACAGCTTAGAGGGAGCATTGCTTTCTGGGTAGCGTTGGGCCAGTTGTTCTTTCTCACAGGGTTGCTGTGTTGATAAAATGAAGGATGGGGGAAATCGTGTACATTCCTTGGAGTGGAGGAGGGTAGGGTAAAAATGCACTCAAATGAATAAATAATTGTGGTAATTTAATTCTGCGAATGATCCTGTAATAGATAGTTCTACCAAACATAACAGCTTTAGGAAAGAAACAGAATTCAAAGAAAAGTGTTGCGCTGGTTTCAAATGGCATGTTGATCTGATTAATATAATATGACTTCGTTTTATATAAAGAAGCTTACCAGGGTTTTAAATCAATCTAGTAGCTTCCTGGGGGAAATATATCATTATAAAATTACTGTAATTGAACAGCTGCTCTAATTAGTAGATATTAAGCTCACAATCATTTAAAGGAATCAAGTAAATATCCACCAATAAGTGTGGAAAAACCCACGCTTTCAATGTAATTCCGTTAAGCTGCAATTTGTTATCTTTAAACTTTAAGCATTTTGAAGATGAAAAGCTCTATCTGTTCTTAGTATTAATATTCATTTTTTTTTTCCTGGTAGGTTATCTTTGCTCTAACAAGCTATTCAGTGGGTTGAGTATTATTAATTCTTCAGGCTAACAGAGCCAGCGTGGCATAGTGGTTAGAGTGTTGGACTAGGAGCTGCGAGACCCAGGTTCGAATCCTCACACTGCCATGGAAGCTTGCTGGGTGACCTGGAGCCAGTCACAGACTCTTAGCTTAACCTACCTCACAGGGATGTTGCAATGAGAAGAGAATGATGTCAGCTGCTTTGGGTCCCCATTAGTTAGATTGGGGGGGGGAGAAATAAATGAAGTAAATAAATGAACCTTATGGGATAGACATTATGCTATTAATGATTTATATTACAATGCACAATCTCTGTCAAACTGAAACATCCTTAAGGGCGAACAAGATAATAAGCAGCCCTTTAATAGTTAGAGTTAGGTGCACTTTCTTGGTATCCATGCTTGGCTTGTCCCTTGGAGAGGGGAGGAAGACCCCATTAGCCCAGGGGTGTCAAACATGCGGCCCGGGGGCTGGATCAGGCCCCCAGAGGGCTTCTGTCAGGCCCGCAGTGGAATTGGCTGTGTTCTGCTTCTTCCAGTTCTGCCGCTGCTGCTGCATCATCATAGGTTTGCAGCTTACAGATACACACCTGAACAGCATACTCAGGATTGCAACAACACAGACATTTGGATGCAATAATTCAGAGCAAGAGGTGTCAGTTGTCAGACACTGTTAAATAAACACAATATTGCAAGAGTGCTCATGTTTTAAGCATGTTTTCATTTTAAGATTAAAAAACCACCTTTGTGTTTGTGTCCTTAATAAAGTATATATCTCCGCTACCTGGCATTACATTTTATGACACACAAGATCCAGCCCCCATAAAAAATAAGTTCGACACCCCTGATCTAGATGTTATGGAGAAGAGAGCTGTGCCCCACAAGATCTCATTTACGTCAGATCCGGCCCTCATAACAAATGAGTTCGACACCCCTGTCTTAGTGTATCTTCTTGGATACCTTTTCCTTGAAATAAGGCCAGCAGGGAGGGTCGTATCTGAAAACAGCATGAAGCCTTTTTGGGGAGAGGATGCATCTCGTACATACAGGATCGGCTTTCTGCCACAGATTTATCTCTACTGTTTGGTTTTGTGGGAAGGAAAAACATGAGGAAAGTCCAACTGCAAAGCTCGCTGGGACCTTACATACTGGCTGCCACCTTCTGTGCGCTGTGTAGCCACCTGATGGACCCCTCACTCTTTTCTCCTCTCTCGACCATTAGATGCTCTTTTGTGGTCCTAGAGATGGTCACACTTTTTTGCTTATTGAGCCCCAAGCCGTGTGTGTCATCCTGGCAGGAGAATGATAGCTTGAACTAGCTGCTCAAAAGCTCTGCTGAGTATCACTGTCGTCCTAAACTTACTTACTCCTTATGCATTTGCATGAAAAAGTGAGCAGGTCCATCCGCAATAGCCTGGTTTCTGTTGTGCTCATTAACAGCATTCTTACTGGGAGTGTCCTGTTTGTGACGCTTTTGGGATAGCATCCCTGTAGAGAACAGATGTTTGTTGATGTTATACGTTTGACACTTTCGGTTACTGACGTGCACCTTTGACTGAGTGGCTCAGAGGTGAAGCAAATGAAGAGATTCTTCCTAAGGTTGCAAATATTAATATTAACAAATGCCTAATACCTTTCACTGAGGGCAACATCACATATTTTAGACGGTAGGAAAAGAAGCGTAGCTGATGTGTGTACTACCCCTTTTTGCAGTTCTTTTTTAGCATCTGAAGCAAGAAGTCTCACGTCTCACCAACAGTGAGATTTGTGAGTTCCAGGTGTTGGGTTCTCACACATCTCTCCTTAGTTGAGATGTGCAACATTCCTTTTCAGATGTTACAGGATGAGTTTTCCCTGCCTCATTCATTTTACAGTGAACAAATACACATTTCAGTATGCATAGAAAGGATTGTTCTGTACTTAAGAATGGTTTACCGCCAAAGCAGGCAAGTATAGAAGCTTGCTCAGGAAAATTGGAACAGGCAATGAGTATGATGTTTGGTTGCAATTGAACTTCAGGGCCATTAATTTTCTTCTTCTCTTTGACACATTTCTGTTGGCTTTTACTTTAGGTGAAAAATGATTATATGGCAGAAATAGCAGACCAGGTGGACCAGGAAATTGCCTTGAAGCTAGGTTGCCTTGAAATCCGGTAAGATGATTTTATGTATTTATTATTCAATGTATGTTTGCAAGCTGAAAACTTCATCTTAATATTGATATTTTGATTAATGGGAATGCATATTTTTTTGTTGAAACAAACTGTTCAAAATTGTGTGGAACATTTACACTTTAGTGTAATATATTTCTTTGGCTTTTCAAAATAATATTTTCTTCGTAAAAATCCAGTTAATGGTCTCTTCATCTCCCTTTTATTATCTGAAAAATTCAGATGCTACGGAATAAATTGCAGTCATGGAAATAATATGCGTGAAGTTAATTTGTTGTGAGATGAAGTTGCATTGCCCTGCCTCTGCAAACAGTGATGAATTCAATTAAAGAAACACTGCCTTTCTCCTTGTAATTTATTGCAAAACACTTTTAATTGGTAAATTAAAGCACAAATTGTGTAAAGGTCAAGGTAAACTGAGAAAATGATTTCCAAACATTTCTCAATGATGTGACCACCAAAAGCAAGACTTGAAACACCTGGGTGCACTGTATATTGAGGCCTCTGATCTAATTAAAAAAGGGTGGGGTAATGCAGAACTGGAGTTTCCTCCCTGACATCCTTAGTCTGAAGCTCGGTTCAGAGCAGGGGTCATTTCATAGAAAAAGAGGTGCAGGAGCTTATTAGCATAAATTATTTGCATACGCCACAACCCCTGACATCACTGGAAGTGTGTCAATAGGCAACACCCACCACTCAGGCTCCACTGGACTGTTTTGGATTGCTAGCTATTGGGGGGGGGGGAACGTGCAGTTGTGTCCTCACAGAGGAGGGAGAGCTTGTACCTGAATAAAACTTGGTCTTAAAGGTGCCTCTGGACCGTTTTGGATTGCTAGGTATGGGGGGGAAGAACGTGCAGATCTGCCCTCACAGAGGAGACAGAGCTTGTACCTGAAGGCGGGCCGTGGGGGGGCTCTGCAACTTACCTGGTTGCTTCTTCCTCCTCGTGGCCCAACAGGGCTGCTGGGAACAGTGGGCGGGGCTTGTGCCCGCCCCCTGGGCTCCTTACTGCCGGAGCTCCGTTCCTGTGCGCTCCCGCAGGAAATGACCCTTGGTTCAGAGTATTGTGTTGCCTAGGAGGACTAAGCGTTGGAGGCTGGTAGGCTGCCTGGTTGTCCCTGTGTCCTTCTCCAAAGCTGGTTACCTGACTAGTAAGGAGATTGGGATGCCATTCTTCTGCATATCTTCCAACAAAAAACCCCCTAGATGTTGTCTTAGATTCGTGCATGGAAGGAATCCAGGATGTCTTTCATGAAGAGCTGTGAGAGCCACTGAGCCCATCCAGCTTAGCTTGCCCCAGAAGCTGAGAAGGACCTCTCCCCCTTAAGAAGTAACAGCTGTGCTCTATAGAACCTTTAGCTGTATACCAATCTACTCCACTGCATGCTTTGCAGACAACCTTTATACATGGCACTACAGTCCCATTGTCAGGCTGGCCCTAATGTGAGGCCTGTTTCTTCCGGGGGAATCTCTGACTCCCATTCAGGTTGCTGGTGGATATATGGGGCCAGGTGGCAATTGTCTTCCCCATGATCGAGGATTCTCACAGACTTCAAATCTTTCATTTGGGTCCTAGGTTAAGTAGTCGCCTTGGAGGCCTGCCAGGGAGCCAAGCTGTGTTTGTGTCGCTGGGGGTCTGGAGCATGGGGGTGGGTGTGCATTAAGGTGCTAGGGTATAGCAGGCTGGGCAGTGGCTTATAGGCTCTGTTGGTTGTTCAGGTGCAGGCAAAGAAGAACAGGAAGGGCAGCTGAGATTGCTGAATTATTCCATGTCTCATGGTTGTAAAATGCCCTTGGGTTGGTCTGGGAAGGGAACGGAAGAAGGTTCTGCATTCCTCCCATCCCTGCAGTGCCCTGCCTGGTCCAACCCCAGCTCCCTCCTGGTCAGGGCTATTTTTGGGCAGGAACGCACAGGAACGGAGTTCCGGCTGGCTCCCAAGTTGGCCACGCCCAGCAGGAACTCATTAGCATAATAGGCCACACCCAGCAGCAGAAACTCATTAGGATTGGCTATATTAGGGGTGTGTGGCCTAACATGCAAAGGAGTTCCTGCTCCAAAAAAAGGCCCTGGGTTTTGACAACAAACAAGGTAAACAGAATAAGAAGCAAAAGGTGGGTGTGGCTGGATGACCACACTTCTGGTTAGGTGGGGGTGTGGCCTAATATGCTAATGAGCTGTGCTGTTAGGGGTGTGGCCTAATATGCTAATGAGCTGTGCTGTCAGGGGTGTGGCCTATTATGCTAATGAGTTCCTGCTGGGCTTTTTCTACAAAAGGAGCCCTGCTCCTGGTGGACCTTCGAAGGCCCTTCCTGAGCCTGGACTGGTGCTCAGGCTGGTGGGCACCTTCCTTCCCAGGATGCCTTCAGGCCTTGGCTCACCTGAGGGGTTTTTCCCCCCTTGCTGGATGGGGTGTTCCATAGCAGCCAGTGCCATCCTAAAAAACCCTCCGTGTGGCCAGACCATGATGACACATGAAGCCACCTTATACTGAATGAGACCATTGGTCTCTCATGGTCAGTACGTTCTACTCAGACTGTCAGCAGCTCTCCAGGGTCTCGGACTGAGGTCCTTCACATCACCTACCACCTGATCTTTTTAGCTGGAGACACCAGGGATTGAACCTGGGACCTTCTGCATACTGAACAGATGCTCTACCACAAAGCCACAGCCCCTCCCCATTGGCTATGGGTTTCCCTTTCCTTTTCCCTGCCCCTTTCTCCGGCAGCACTTTGGCCGTAAGGGTCTTTTAACTGCTCTGCTGAACTGCTGGACTGGATGGAGGGTTCCACTGACCACAATTTGTCTGCAGGTATCTGGATGCAAATTCTAGAATAATAGTCAGATATAGATTTTTTTAAAAACCCAAAAACACCTCTTCCACCCAATAGGTTGGTTACTGTGTTTCAGGTCAGTTGGACCTCTTGGTTCCATGATAGAATGAAATTCCTGTATTCAGTTGCAGGTATTTACCACCTGCCTCCGCCACTGGCAAACCACTCTAGTGTCTTTCCTTTCAGGTTTATGCCGTGTCCACTGCACAAGGACCGCTCGCAACATTAGGGGTGTTCCACTCTAGCAGCAACTCACCTGGAATTTCTACCCTAGGTCTTATCTTTGTAGTCGGATTCTGTTTCACAGAGGAGTTTAATGTTTAAACTGTTTATATATGCTCTTCCAGATTATTGTGGGGGGGAGACGCTGCAACAAAAGCTGTTGAAAATCCCCCAAGCCTATTCTAACTGTTGTTAAAGGTCTTTTAGTTGAGACAATTGCTTTAGTTCTGCTGTTGCCCTTCACAGCAGGGCTTGGAAAATAACAATCAATAAGAAATTAGTGGTAAATCAAGCGGCAGAGTAATAGGGGAAGAAAAGCAAATGTTGAATTGCCATTTTGAGATGCAGTGTGACTCAAACAGTGGTTGTCCATCAGGAATAACGATAGGTGGAACCTGGCAGCAGAACGTTGTTCGGACTGCAAATCCTGGATGTCCTTGGGGGATGATCACTGCTGCATCTGGTTTAAGACGTGGAATTTGGCCATTCGCAAATCTCAGCTTTATTTATTTATTAAATTCATACTCTGCCCTCCTCACCAAGGCAGGCTCAGGGTGGCTTGCATTAACATTTCCCCAAAACAAATTAAAATCCTAAAAATAGTTCCAAAGTACTACACTTGAAGTTGCTGAAGTGTCTCAAAACACGTTGAATCCTCCAAGACCCGACAAGAATCTGAGTGAGATGTCCAAACAATCAGAGATTGGGTTTTCGGTGCTCGGAGGAGGCCTTCTTCTTTGGTGGCGACAGAAGCACCCGGGCCTTGTCAACAGTGTCAGAAGAGTGGCGACAACGTGGGGCCGGGGGAAGCCGGAAGAGCCGATGACAGATTGAAAGCTTTGTCTCTAAGCTGATGCTAAAGTTAATTCCCTAGATGGCAGAACCAGCCAGCAGGGCGGGGGACAGCATGACTTCAGCACAGTGTGAGCAAGACCGCTACCAGGGTGTGGGGCTGCTCCACTGATGTGTCTTTTCCTGTAAGAGTAGTACTGTATTACGTTCGATTTACAACAAAAAGGAAAATTAGTAAAATTAGTAAAGCACATGTTAAATCCCATTTGTTTATTTATTTATTTTATTTAAATCCCACCCCCTGGCCACCGAAGCAGGCTCAGGGCGGCGTACATAAAAAAATTATTAAAACAGATAAAACAAACAAGTCAAGATAAAAATAGAAATATGAAACACCACATAAAGTGCTAGCACACAGCCTATGGCAATGGCGATACCAGTTATAATACCACTTCCTCACTAATATCTGTGTATGCACCTTGGGAAATGAGGAGGAGGAGGAGATTGGATTTATACCCCGCCCTTCACTCGGAGTCTCAGAGCGGCTTACAAACTCCTTTCCCTCCCCATAACAGACACCCTGTGAGGTCGGTAGGGCTGAGAGAGCTCTTTCCAGAACTGTCCTTGAGAGAACAGCTCTGACAGAACTATGGCTTGCCTAAGGTCTTCCAGCAGCTGCAAGTGGAGGAGTGGGGAATCAAACCCGGTTCTCCCAGACTAGTCCACGCACTTAACCACTACACAAAATGAAATTGTGATAAACTAAAAAGCTTAATTTATTTTTCCCCCAGCTGAAAACCCAATCCAGTTGCTACCTGGCAAGCCTCGGTGGTGGCACATTCCACTGTTTTGGCCCCATAATGGTAAAAGCCCAATTGTTTGGGTTGCCAGATCTGGGTTGGGGCAGGGAAGGGACTTCGCTGGGCTATAATGCCATAGAGTCCGCCTTCAGAAGTGGCCATTTTCTCCAGGTGAACTGATCTCACCTGAAGATCAGTTGTAAACCTAGGAGATCTCCAGCCACTGCCTGGAGGTTGGCAACTCTTACACTCATGACATCTGAAGCAGGGCATGGGGTTTAACCTGGGGCAGCCCTAGGTCTTTATACTGCAAAAACACGTAAGTGCTCTGTCTTTAGAATCCTGTGCCCTTACAAAGTGTTTTGGGATGTTTGGAATACAGAGAAGTTATTTAGTATACAATATATTGTACCTGAGAATGTAGTAATATTGCAATTCATTTGTTGCAGTTGAGTCAAACTATATAGAAGAGTTTTCTATATCAGAAGAGTTTTCGGCTAAACATTAGGAAGAACTTCCCGACAGTTAGAGTGGTGCCTCAGTGGAACAGGCTTCCTCAGGAGATAGTGGGCTCTCCTCCTTTGGTAGTTTTCATACAGAGACTAGATGGCCATCTGACAGCAATGCTGATTCTGTGAACTTGGGCAGATCACGAGAGGGAGGGCAGGAAGGGTTGCCTCAGTGATGAGTTCTTGTGGCCCTTTCTTACACGCCCAGGGAAATGCTGATTGTCAGGAAGCAATTTTCCCCTAGGCTGGTTTGACCAGGGATCCTGGAGGTTTTTTTGTCATCTTCTGGGCGTGGAACAGGGGTCACTGGGGGTGTGGAGGGGGAGGTATTTGTGAATTTCCTACATTGTGCAGGGGGTTGGACTAAATGACCCTGGAGGTCCCTTCCATCTCTGTGATTCTGTATGGAGCCTCTGTTGGTCAACAAAGGGGGGGGGTGGCTCAGTGGTAGAGCTTCTGCTTGGCATGAAGAAGGTCCCAGGTTCAGTCTTCGGCATCTCCAGTTAAAGGGACCAGGTAAAAAGTGATGTGAAAGACCTCTGCCTGAGACCCTGGAGAGCTGCTGCCAGTCTGAGTAGACTATACTGACCTTCATGGACCTAGGGTCTGATTCAGCATAAGGCAGGTCCACGTGTGTGTTCAAGCTGCAAAAAATGCTGTGTGTGCACTGATGACTTTGTATTGGGTTTGCCTAGATCAGTAATTCTTTTTTTCTTTTTACTGGTTTTAGGAGATCTTACTGGGAAATGAGAGGCAATGCACTAGAAAAGAAATCCAACTATGAAGTATTAGAGTGAGTATATAATTCCTGCTCCCAGTCAGAGTCCTCTTGCTTTGCAAAACGTACATCAGTTCAATTAGGAGTTGCGCCGCTTGTGCTCTTCGCGGGAAGGTCATGATACTAAGGCTGCCGTTATTGGTTTAATTAAGATAAAATGGGAAATCGTAAAACCGAATGCATTTCAGACCTCTCAGCCTACTGAGGGGGCAAGAGCTCATCGGCTCCTGTCCAACCGGGACAAATTGGATTGTTCATAGTTGACAGGCAGCATCAGAGCGGTTTGAGTCATCTGTATTCTGTCAGCGCTTTTGGGATCAGCCGGGTTTGGTCCTACAGATTTCGCAGCGCTTTGTGCAAAATGGATTTTCTGTTTGTGATTAGATTAATTGGTCACGGGACTAAATTACATTGAGTTCTTTAATTACTTACCAGGGCGTGGAAACTTACAATTTGTGGCTTTGTTTTCCCTGCCCGCCTTACTGTGATGATGCCGTTAACAACAACGCCATTTGCCCAGTGCACGCTCCAGATTTTAGCAGCTGATTGTTAAAAGCCAGTATATTGACATATGTGGAAACGTTGGCTGGTAACCAAATTTCGATACAGAGTTTGCAGGCGAGCTTTGCATCTCATTTCTAAGAGGACGATTGATGTTGCTGCTGGGCAGAGAGGCAGAAGGGGGTGATCAGTGACTCAACAGATTTTCTGGCAAGTTAACAGTGGCTTGCTGGTTTGTGGAGGGCATGGTGTGCAACAGGTGGATAGTTTAGTGTTACATTTGCTAGAGGCCACTGAGGCACACATGTGGTAAAGATTATCACATGAATGGAACGTGTTATGGAAAACTGAAAGCATCTTAACAGTATGGAGTCTGTTTCCAGTATTTGCTTCTGCATCACCATGGTCCACCCCCCCCTCTCTCAACCTCCCCCACAAACACAGGGTGTATCCCAGGAGTCCCCAACACGGTGCCCGTGGGAGCCATGGTGCCCACCGACACCAGCAGGGCTTCCGATTGGCCACTGGACATCTAATGGGATGTTCATCTTGTCTTTTGCACTTGGGTTTACTTTCTGTGTGGCTCCGCCTCCCACTTAGTGGTTGCACCCACCACCTTGGGTCAAAATTCCAAAGGCGCCCACAGGCTCAAAACGTTTGGGGAGCCCTGGTGTATTCGTTCCCAAATAAGCTCACTTTCAAATTGATATAAAACTAATAATATTATTATCACATGCCATTGTATGCAGTATAGACAGGAGATCCTAAGATTGTCTGGCAGCCTAAAAGTTTTAGCTCTTTTAGCATTATGGTGGTGGTGAGCGAGACTTAGTTTTTGCGCCGAGAGGGCTCTGAAGTAGCTGTGACTGACCCATGGTCACCCAGCTGGCTTCATGTGCTGGAGAATGGAATCAAACCCGGTTCTCCAGATTAGAAGCCATCCCTCTTAACCACTACACCATGCTGGCTCTCAAAATTAATGAAGATGCTTGAGAGAAAGAGCTTTTCACAGTAGCACCTTAAAGACTAATAACATTTGTGTCATGGGATGAGCCTTCGCTCACTTTATCATATGGCAGAGTTACACATAGGAAGCATATGATAATATAAAATACAGAACCTAGCTGATACAACGGGTATGAAGACCAATCGGGCAATCCCCCTGAATACTAATATCTAATTTTTCAGTCCACTCAGTCACAGCTGGGAAGAGTTCAGAGAGCTCCATCACATCTCCCTGGAAAACATGATGCGCACGTTCCTGTTGGGTGGACTGCATGCACCACAGTTGCATTCAGGTCCTGGTATTCTGCCCCATTTAAACAACAGGTCTACACAGCTGCCAGAGCCTGTTCATATTCTGTTAGCTGTCTTCCATACTTTACGTGGCAATTCAAATCCTACGAGCCTCTCGTTGGTGTTTTATCAGGTTTGGTGTAGTGGTTAAGTGTGCGGACTCTAATCTGGGAGAACTGGGTTTGATTCCCCACTCCTCCACTTGCACCTGGCTGGATTTTGGCCAAGCCAAAATTCTGGCACAGCTGTTCTTGAAAAAGAGCCGTTTCTGTCAGAGCTCTCTCAGCCCCGCCTACCTCACAGGCAATGCTTCCTCTAAGGTGCAAAGCCTTGTGAGCCAAAATTCTACTTCGTGAGCTACTGACATTAAAGTTGTGAGCAGGCGATTTGGCTACTGCATAAATTAGTTTGCTCTGGAGCCGTCATTTCCTGAGCTAAGACAAAAATCTGTGAGCCGGAGACTGAAAAACTGTGAGCTAGCTCACACTGACTCAGCTTAGAGGGAACACTGCTCACAGGGTGTCTGTTGTGGGGAGAGGAAGGGAAAGGAGTTTGTAAGCCACTCTGAGACACCTTTGGGTAGTGAAAGGCGGGGTATAAATCCAATCTCTTCTTCTTCTTCTCTTCTCTTCTTATGGATATACTTCAGATGAAGAAGTGAGCAGCAACTCACAAAAGCTCATCCCCTGCCACAAATGTCGTTAGTCTTTAGCTGCTGGACTCTTGCTCTTTTCTGCTGCTGCAGACAGACTAACAATGCTACCCATCTTGATTCTCATGCATGTATTTAATGATCATTTGAGGGGAGGGGGGTTAATATATCATCTCGATATCTTGCCCCTAATTTTACTGCAGGCTTACAGCCTTCTGTGCCACAAAGCCCAGTGGAGGCATACTATTCGTTTGGAAGGCTAGTGGTCGTTCGTGTCTTAGTTTATGACGTTCATAGCATATGATGTCCTTACCATCATCTCTCTATTTCAGCACGACCCCATGCTGAACTTAGCTCAGCCTAGCGGTATTGGCTGGTTGTCCCAACCCATTCGGGGCTGCATTATTCTACTACCTTTTTGTATGGCCTTTTTCAGTGGCTGCCCCAGAGCTCTGGAACGACCTCCCAGGGAAACTGGAGGAGGCTTCAAGGGCTGTAAAACCAGATTTCATAATAGACTGTAGGCCCTGATCCTGCCAGGCTTCTAGAGTGCTACGCTCTCCTCCTGAGTGAGACGGGAATGCGGGAGGCTTTGCACTGCTGGGCTTGAATGGTGCTTCCTGATCCGGCTTCCACTCTGATCCTCTGCTTCTTTGTTTCTTGGGAGACTGTGGGGGTGCCAGAGCTGGATGAGTCTCCTCAGGGGGTATGTGATCTTTCCCACTCCATAGGATCTCGAGTGAGAGTGGTTGAGGAGACTAACTGTCCTTCTGAGGAGCCTTCTTTCCATTTTAGGCTGGGTAAGGGCAGGTCCCGACAAGAGAAAAAAATCCAAAATGGATGAACTCCCTTTTTAACATCATATATTTACCAAAGCTAGTTCATCCCAAGTTCAGATTCAGTCCCCCACCTCTCCAGTTAAAAGCATCAAGCAATATGAAAGACCTCTGTTCCTGAGACCCCGCAGAGCTTCTCCTAGTCTGAGCAGGCAGTACTAACCTTGATGGGCCAGTGATCTGATTCGGTATCAGACAGTGTCATGTGTTCATGTGCCTTTTTTCCAAGGAGCTAAGGTGGCATATATAGTTCTCCCCGCCTTCATTTTACCCTCACAACAACCCTGGGAGGTAGGTTAAAAGCAGAGAATATGATTGCCCAAGATTATCCAGAGAACTTCATGTCACAGTAGAGATTTGAACCTGTGTTTTCCAGCTTCAACAGAAGGAGGAGGAGGAGGAGGAGGAGATTGGATTTATACCCCACCATTCATTCCTGAGTCTCAGAGTGGCTTACAAACTCCCTTCCCTTCCCCTCCCCACAACCCGACACCCTGTGAGGTAGGTGGGGCTGAGAGAGCTCTGGCAGAAACTGCTCTTTTCAAGAACAGCTGTGCCAGAACTATGGCTTGCCCAAGGTCATCCAGCCAGGTGGAAGTGGAGGAGTGGGGAATCAAACCCAGTTGTCCCAGATTAGAGTCTGTGCACTTAACCACTACACCAACAACCTTCACACAACAGAAAGGGAGGAAAGAGAGAACAATCAGCCAAATGGCTTGGCAGAAAGAAAAAAGGGCCTACCTGGTGCCTAAAACCAGGCAACGCTGGCGTCAGGTGGGCAGGTATGTTGAAGAAGTTCCAGAAATGAGCCATCACCACTGAAGAGGCTGGTCCCCAGGGGCCTTACACCATGTACAGATTTGTGATGGAACATGTCTTCATTCTTTTCTACGGTTCAGAAAAGTTCTCCTGAACTTTTACATCCCTATACATGACTTAGTTAATAATGCAGTATAAGTCGCAGAGCACTGTAATCTAATCCAAGCGCACTTAACCACTACACCAAACCATCCTGGTTAACTGAGTGCCAGCTTTTACCGTGTTGATATCATCTGATCCCGGATCGCTGCTGCGATGTCAGACCTCCGCTTTACCTGTCTATGTCAATGAAATGCAAACCTAATTTATATTCAGCGTTGATACATTTCCCCGAAGAGACCCGTGGTGTATTTCTTCAGTGGTTTCTCCTAAGACTGCTGTAAGAATCCAAGGAGAACCTGGCTGGGTCAGGCCAAGGACAATCTACCCCAGTATCCTATTAGGAAAAGTCGCCAGCCAGATAACCTCTGACAAACCCAAAAGCAGGGCTTGAATATTGAAGAACTCTGATCTGCTGTTAAACTGTTCGTTAGAAAATGTTATTCATGCCAAAGCATGGTAGCCCTGCACTGTAATACAGCAATGAGTAAAAAATTCAGAGCTGTTCGATGTGGTCCCTGCTGGAGTGCTTTTGCATGTCATGTTGACTGTCGGATTTATCTAATCCTACACGAGAAGATAAACTGCATACAATTTGCATCTAAGAAGTAATACATCAAAGGACTTAGCATACATGAAAATTTTATCCCATTCTTTCCCCGGTTC